ACGTCATAATTGTGTATATAAAAACTGCTGATATTAGTTAAATGTATATCATGTCTATCAGCCAATCAGATTCAAGAACCAGACAGAACTGTTGTATATATATATTAAGAGGGGCTAATAATAATAACCCTAAAATGATTAAAAAAAAAAAAAAAGTAAAAACTGCTTTTATTGAAGCAAAAATAATACCAAAAAAAGAAGAAAAAAATTATAGGAAATACATTAAAAGATTTCTTGCTTTGTTAAACATAATTTGGCAAATGTTTGAAAAAGAAAAAAATAAATCACAGGAGGGCTAATAATATTGACTTCAACTGTATATACATTTACACACATATGTTTTTGGTTTTGTGAATTGTTTGAAACAGTTCAACACTGCACAAATTGTATTTTTGATTACTCTATACTAGTCCTACACCTAACTCTACCACTTAAAGAAAACTTCTTACTTTCTCCAAAAAAAAAATAAAAAATACAGAAAAAATCTCCTTCTGTATGACTTATTAGCCTTTTGAAAAATTCTGACATGGATAATAAAACACAAAAATCACCTTCTCATAGTAATACCCATGTCATACCCATTACAAAGATTAGTGTTACCAAACAAGCACACACACACACACACACACAGAGAGAATTGTTTACAGATTTTTGACTTTTTAAGGTTTTTTGTTTTTTTTTAAGGATTTTTTTTCTCATTATTCATTCATTCATTTTCTTTTCGGCTTAGTCCCTTTATTAATCTGGGGTCGCCACAGCAAAATGAACCGCCAGCTTATCCAGCACATGTTTTAACGCAGTGGATGCCCTTCCAGCTGCAACCCATCTCTGGGACATACACACACACTACGGACAATTTCGCCTACCCAATTCACCTGTACCGCATGACTTTGGAGTGTTTAAAAATGTACCCCATATTACTCCATCCACCTACCTAACACACAAAAATTAAATATGTATTTAAGAAATCGCCACCAAAAATAAATAAATAAATAAATAAATAAATAACACAAACAAATGTTGTCAAGAAAAAAAAAAACATGAATAAATCTACAAGTTACACAGTTGAAGTCAGAATTATTAGCCCCCTTGAATTATTAGACCGCTTGTTTATTTTTTCCCCAATTTCTATTTAACGGAGAGATTTTTTTCAACACATTTTTAAACATAATAGTTTTAATAACTCATCTCTAATAACTGATTTATTTTATCTTTGCCATGATGAGAGTAAATAATATTTGACTAGATATTTTTCAAGACACTTTTATACAGCTTAAAGTGACATTAAAAGGCTTAATTAGGTTAATTAGGTTAACTAGACGGAAATAGGTTGGGACCATTGTTATTGTTTACATCCCTCAAAATGGTCTATAAGGAAAAGTGTGGGCACCTCCGGTCTAGACTGTGGAATTTTCTAAGGAGATCTCGTAGGGGATCTTTCTCTCCTGTGGGGTTTTTATTGTTCAGCTTTGTGAGCATTAGGTGAGCTTTGAGTCAATGGAGTGTGCAGTGATTACAGACTGCAGTATCAGTGTCTTTGACCTCATCTATAGACAGAGGCGTCTTCATCTCTGAAAGCGGCGCTCTGTCTCTTATGAAGACGCTCAGTTCAGGCTCATTAGATCCAGTGTGCGGCTCCAGCAAAGAGAAAGGCGGTCTGTTCCTCTTGGTGCTGGAGTTGAGGCTTGGCAGCAGATCTGGCCAGCTGTTCTCCTCCACCGGCCTCCATGATAACAGCTCTCCAAATCACCCAATATTACCCCACTGTTCTTCTTCCTGTGACGCCATCGCCCCATCTGACCATTTTTACACCTCTGTTTACACAATTTGCAACCACAGAGCTGATGCTTTGTTCAACTAAAACTGATGTTTATAGTACATGTAATGCCACAGTACATGGTCTGTTTTAAGATCTACATGTGTGTTATAATAATCTAAAATATATAAATATGTTTTAGGCAGAAACAAGAATACCTTGCATTTTTATTTATTTTCTCATTATATTTTATCTTATTAGATATGAACAATATTACACGAGTAGCAGTATGGGTTGGCTCAAGGATGGCTCAAGGAGTGCCTTAGGGCCTACTCACACTATGCCATCCGTACCGTGCCCAGGCCCGTTTCCCGGATCGTTTGAGAAGTGTGAGTGCGCTGAATCGGGCTCAAGCACGGTTCACTTGGCCGGCCCTGGCCCGGTTGGAAGAGGTGTGCCTGAGCCCGGTTCACTTGGGCTTTGGGGCGGTACGCTTGTGTGTGAGTGCAAAATGCGCCAAAGCCCGAAACTGAAAGCGAGACGTGACTTTTAAGGCACTGTTTCATATGGATTTACTAATCATTCTTACTGTTCAGTGAACGCAAACTGCCGTAGTTTATTAAAGACGCAAACTCCTCACTTCACGACAGCTGTGCGCCTTCAGCAGACCTCCTCATTCCTGCAGCACGAGAGCTTTATGATTGTTTCTGAGCGCCAAAAGTGGCGGATCTGTTCGGCGAAATATCTGACTGCGTGTCACCGCATCCCTAAGGACTGTTTGGCGAAATATTTGACGGCATATCAAACGACTGAAACGATATAACTAGAGAAATCTCCACTGTGCTGCTGAGTGAGAGAGCGCTTCTCACTGAACAGCGCAGCAGCGATGACGTAAGCGCACTGAAGCCCGTTTGTGGTGTGAGCACGGGCCATCGGGGGAGACGGGAGGGGGGACAAGCGTGCTTTGGCCCGGTTCGAGGCAACTGTACCTAGTGTGAGTACGGCCTAAGTGCCCCATTAGTGATAATATACAGACATACCCAGCTGGCAAAATTCATGTGGCTCAAATCAGGCCCACACCAGACACTTTCATCCAGCCCACATGGAATAATGGCACTTGGGCGGTCCGCTCCTGTTTGTCAGATCTGGGCTACAAATAAGCCAAAGCAGTACCACATATTAGCCAGATATCAACCAAATGAACCAGATCTGACCCTATTCTGGGCCACAGTTTGCTTTTATTCTTGCCCAGATCTGGCCTTTTACTTCTAATAATGGATTAAACATTGGTAAACATCAGTGAATTATATTATTTCATCACAGATTGTGCCTCACTTCATATTGTTTGCTGTAATTAATAAACTTTTCAAGCAAAGTTCTTAAAAGTTACAGCAGCCCAAAAGAAAATGTATATTAAGAGGTTCAGGTATGAGCCCAACTAAAGCTAACACTTTTCTCCATGATGGTGACTTTAGTCTATGTGGTCCACATATGTTTTAAGATAACTGGGCCACATTTACTAAATCTCCTCTGGGCCGCTTTAGGCTCAAAGCCACATTAGCCAGACCTTACTGTGCCGAATATTTGCCAAAAGTGGCCCACATTTGTTTTAGGACAACTGGGCCACATTTGCCATATCTTCTCTGGGCCACTAGGCTCAACTCCACATTGTATCAAGTATTGTTGCCTATGTAAACATACTCAATGTTCGACTCAACCACATCGTCCGGGCTCTGCGAACTTGGCTTTGCGAAGCAGCATTTTCTGTATGTACGTACAGCAAAAGCAAGTATGCTATGGCTCATGTTCGTGAATTAGTGGGGGGTTGGGGCTGAGTGAAATTGGACAAACTTGGGGGGCGTGTGTCCTAAAAGTTTAAAAACCCCTGTATTAATTAATTAAAGTGACAAACACTATAAACTGTAACTGGAATGTTTAATTTATTTATTTATTTATTTTTATTTTAGAAAATTTTTATTAAAGAAAAGAAAAAAAAACAAATTTCCCTAAAAAAAACGCTCAATTTAACAAAGAGGTTTGTTTTCACAAATATACCGCTCAAATATTAGAAAGTTCATTTATTTAATTATGTTTAAACACTAACAAATTTAAAACATTGAACAAGTAAATCTATGTAGCCTTTATCGTTAATCGTTTAAAATAAAGAAATAGTTTGATTGTTTTATTATAATGCCACCATACAGGGGTCCATTTTTCATTCCGGCGTAGTAAGACAGACAGTAGGAAACACAGCATTTATGCAGCTGGACCTGAATGAGACCATCTGGATGCCGTACTGTACGTGTTGGAAAATAAACGATCCAAAGCAAAACATGAAGCACATCATGCAGTCACC